GTTCGAGCGCTCGGCGGGGCGAGGGTGGAGCAGGGCCTGCCGGTCGGGCGCGACACTCTGCCCCGGCGAGCCGGTCGAGGCCGCGCCCACAGCCGGCTCCACGTTCTGGACGTGGTTATTGGAACCCGGGCTCCGGGCAGCCTGCCTTGCACCTCTTCCCCTGCCGCGGCTACCGCGGTGGGGGGCTGAGCTCTGTGAATTCATGTTTTTTTAGCTTTCGGGTCGCCGGGAAAGGCGTTTCTTACCCTAACCCTCCCTTACTGACGAACGGCTTTCTGTCCCTGCGGTCTTGAGTTTTCACCTCAGAGTCGCGGCTGAGCACCCGGCCCACTCTGAGGCGGGGAAAAGAGACTTCGGCGGAGCCTAACCCCGCCTTCCGCGGCTGTAGGCGGTGCGCGCGCACACGCCCGAGGAAAAATAACCGCGCCAATTGTGGTCGGAAGATACCACTTCAAGCGGGAGGAGAGTGGCCAGGCGAGAATGAATGAGCAGGTGTGCATATACCCACGTGGTTCTTAACCTCAAACGTTCATTTATCACGCTTTCTCTGAAAAGTGCCTTGGCTACAGGGGACATAAGGCTGCGAATATTTGAAGGAAATGAACCCGAAGCATCGCGGAGTCACCCCCGGCTGCACATGGTCTAGCCCACTAGGACGTCACGTAGGAGGGGAGGAGTCTGCGCAGCTGCACGCTGTTGTAGGGTGGGGGCGGGTTGAAGTGGGAGCGGTGTATTGAGTGAGTTGTAGTAATTATCAGTTCCTTATAGAGTTTTTGAAGTTCAGGTGCTTAAGGAAAATCCAAGCAAGTAGGCAAGAAAAATCACCGTACTGTCACAGATTAACTAGTATTGCAATTCAAAGTGAAGGTCAAGCCAGGTGTGGTGGCGCACGCCTGTAATCCCAGCACTAGGGAGGCTGAGGCAGGAGGAAAAAAAAAGTGAAGGTCAAAGTATGGCCAAGGTACAAAACCAAAACAAGACAAAACAAAAAGGAAATGTGTTTCCATATCCTACTGAAAGAGCTATGTTTAGTACTGACACTTTACTGTGCAGAAAGCCTTCAGTCTTGCTACTTTATCTCTTCCTTAAACTTCCACTTTTATTCTTATCTTCCTAAAGCTGAATTTGTCATCACTGGAATCCTCAAAAATAGATGACTTGTCTGTCGTGGTGGCACACACCTGTAATCCCAGCACTGAGGAGGCTGAGGCAGGAGGATCACCGCAAGTTTAAGGTCTGCCTGGGCAACATAGTGAATTCAAGGTTCACCTGAACAGCATGGCAAGGCCTTGTTCAGAGTGATGAAAACTCCAGAAAGTTAACTAGATACTTTTCCCCACATCTAAAATATTTCTTGTGTCTGCCCATGCGCATTCTGTATAAAATATCTTGTTGGATAAGCTGTAAGGAAATATAGATGTTGTTTTATCCGTTTTAAATAGCTTTTACTTCTTAAAAAAGGGTTTGAGGCCCTGGACTAAGTTGGAATCATTTTCATTGTGATAGCTTTTGAAGCATAGAGAGGAAAAATAGAAGTAATTCAGCTCTTTCTCATGTGATTGTACCCAACTTTCTTCTTATTACCATTGCTTTCATTTCTTTTCATTCAAATACTTGGTTTCACACTATGTGGTAGACACAGAGCAAGGTACTAAAGATAATACAGGCGATGAATGACTGAGACCATCACTGAACATAGTCTAGAAGCAATGGACAGCCACATGTTCAATGGGTGAATAGAAACTCTGACCAAAGTTATGTTGGAAAGATCCTTAGTGAGGGAAAATTCCTCAGGCCAATTATGTCAAGCAGTTTATCTGAGCAAAATAAAGCAACACAAAACAAACTTTAACTGTATTGTCAATTTTGGAAAAAGTTGTCCCAGTTCACTGTGTTGAGTTGGAATTGTACAGAAATTAACAGCCATATTGGACTAGAAACTTTAAACTTAATTTTTTTCCATTTGTACAAGGGTTATGTACTGTATTAAATATGTAAGGTCTTATCTACATGGGTTTTATTACAGAAACTAATAAAGTATTCTCTAAATAGTGAGGAAAAAAAAGTTAAGCAAACAAACAAAAACTGATTCAGGCAGCTCCCAAAACCAGAGCAGGTTCTTAGAGTGCCAATCAACAATGAGATCAGACAGCATGTATTGAAAAATGGAAGTGAAATATACAGAAGTGAGTCGATACAGCCTACTCAGCCAGTTGATTGGTTACAGCTTACCTGGTTAATTGTCTACAAGGCCTGCAACAGACCAAAGGCCAGCCACTGTGATTAAACTCTACATTGGTTTGGATTGCACTCGTGCAGGTGTCTGGCCCAAATACATGGCTTCCTACAAATTTTATTTGACAGGTGGCTGGATCACTTTAGAGGTTACCTTTGGGAGAGGGACTATAAAGTATTCCAGAAAGAGGAACAATTTGGGAGGCTGAGGCAGGAGGATTCCAAGTTCCCCACTTTGGCAACTTAGCAAGATCCTGTTTTAAAAGGGGAGGGGGGGGCTAGTAATGTAGATTAGTGGGAAGGTCCTGGTTTGATCCACAGTTCCACAAAAAAGGCAGGGGAAGATGAGGTCAACAACCCTGTGGTAGAAAGAAGCATGGTTCTTCCTGATGGGGCAACTGAAAGGCAGCCAGTACAGCCATGGCAAAGTGAGAAGCACAGGAGACAAGGCTGCTGTGGCAAGCAGGGCCAAAGTCAGATGCTTGGCCTTAAGCTGGCGATATAGCTCAGTGGTAGACTGCTTGCCCAACATGTACAAGTCCCTGATATTCAACCTCTGGCACTGCAAATTTAAAAAAAACTTGGTCTGTATCCCAAGAGCGCTGGAAGCCATTGCAAGAATCTTAAGCAAGAGGCAGTATGCCTATGTTGCATTTTGAAAAGGCCTGTCTGCTTGCCATGTGAATAATAGGCCAAAGGGAGCCAGAGTAGATAAGTACAGGGATACCGAAATTAGGAATTCTTCAAAGAAAGTGATGTGGATGTTTTAGACTACGGAGCTGTTTGGACAGGGTGGTAGCTAGCTCACAGAGAGCTGGCAGGGACAGAGCCAGGAGAATAAATACTCTTAACTTTCCAATCTCCTTCCAGTCTTCTGCTGCTTCTCTATATATAAGACACAGAAGCCCCTGACTCTCTCCCCTTTTTTATTTCCTGTGCCAGCCAGAAGGGCCGAGGTTTGACAAATATCTGTATGTCCCTTCCCTTGCTTCTCTTTGCTCTCCCTCCGCCTAGGATGAACTGCCTCTTGCCTCTTGCCTCGGTATCCAGTATCCTGCCTCCCCTGCAGTTGCTTTGTGACCTCTCCGAACACCAATAAGCTGTGATGTACACAGCTAGCCCTCCCAAAGATTGCAGTCCTACCACTTTTCATGGAGATGCAACAGCCATCAGTGAAACAGCTCTCACTGCCCTGCCCTCTCATGGAATCACTGCCGTGGCACCCCCAACTCCCGCTCACCCACTTGAACCAATCACAGGCCTACACTTGAACTAATCAGCAGGTCTGAATTGGAGACCAGCGTATGCTTACCCTTGGACCAGTCACAGGTCTGCAGCTGCTATATAAGGAGTGCACCCATCAGCTTTCTTTCTTTTTCTTTTTTCTTTCTTTTTTCCTTCTTTCCTTCCTTTCTTTTTTTCTTTCTTCTTTTGAGGTAGGATTTCACTATGTAGCCCAAGCTGGCCTCGAACTTGTAACAGTCCTCCTGCCTCAGCCCTCCGAGTGCTGACATTACAGGCATGTGCCACCGTGCCCGACTAACATTTCCTGGGCTAGTCTCAAGGCTCCATCTGGTGTGTCGACTACCCTGTGTTGCTGCACAGATCCTATTAAAATAAAGCCTCACTCTTTTGGTCCTGTGAGCCTGCTTGGGATTTCTCAGGTAGTATGGGCTTGGAAGGTCCTGTAAATCTACTCAGGATTCCTCAGTTGTGTGAACAGAGCAGTCACTTTCAAAGAAGGAGCAATCAACACTAGGGGCTTTTAGCCATGAAGAGCTCAGCTGGTGAAGATCAGCCAGTGAGACCAGCACCCAGAACAACGGACCCACCATGTTTGGCACAAGCCAGCATTAAATGACAGCAGTCATCAACAGCAGAGACCAGCAGACAGGTGTGTCAAGTGGCAGTATTTAGCATTGTCTGGTATGGTTCAGTGGCATCAGAACCACCATCAGAGCTACACTTTGCTGAGTCATGATTTTCATCTGAACAAATGGAAAGAACCCTCAATTTATTGGCAACATGTAGATCTAATCCAAATAGAACCTAGCTGGCAAGACAAACTACTGATACCATCCATTCTGATGGGCCGTCAGGGGACAGAAAAGAGGGGAAAGGGGCAGACACCACCTGGCAGGGTTGAAGGGAGGGTTAAATGAGCAAATGAATATAAAACAGTGTAGTACCTGACATAGTAATTACTCCATACCTATTGATATTGTGATTTTTAAAAGCTACATTATAGCCGAATGTGGTGGCGCATGCCTGTAATTCCAGCACTTGGGAAGCTGAGGCAGAAGGATCATTGTGAGTTCGAGACCAGCCTTGGCTACAAAGTAAGCTCAAGGCCAGCCTGAACTGCATAGCGAGACTTTTTGAGACAAAAAGACTCAAAAAGACAAAAAAACCCCACAAAACACTACACTATACATTCAAGTCAAGTACTGTAATTTATTCAACCACTGTCTTCTAACATTAAGCATTTAGTATTTTCCAGTTTTTAGTATGATACATTAACATGGGGATGAACATTTTGTGCATAAAATATTGTATCTATTTCCTAGAATTGCTTC